AGAATCAAACAAAAGGGCAAAACGTTTGAGCGAGAAGGAAGGTCTGTGTGTAAAGCTTTACGGGGTGGCAATGATGGATGTAATTCTCACATTTTGGAAAATTTAAGAATAAAAGTGGTGTGGCCCGGTTTATGTTATGAAAAATACTACTCCCATTACTTGGCAGCAAGTGCTGTGCCAAAAGCAAAAGCTGTCACAGTGGGCCAAGCATGGGATAATATCAGTGTGGACTCAGAGTCAGCAAAGCAGGAGGTAAGATCTCACCGATTTCGAAATATATTTTTGGGGAAGCACCAGTAAGAATTAGTTCTTGGATGCTGCTGAAAGAGAGTAATTAAAACTTTCAAGATACTGTGCCTAAGAAAGAAAATGATAGAACCAATTAGCTAAGACGAGGCACATTAGGACAGAAGCATCCACGGCTTTGAAGAAGCGGTTGTCTGGGCAAGGTTTTCCGGATTTTTAAGCAGAGATGTCGCCGGGACAGTTGGCTACACACACTGAGCTCAGAGGGGAGGTCAGGGCTTTGAATTTAAGTGTCATCCATTCATAGTTGGCATTGAAACCACCAGTTTGGATGAGAAAGTTCAGGGAAGGAGGAGAGCTTGAAAAGGAGTCTGTCCACTGAGTATCTGGAATAACCCAACATTCAGGGGAGGACCCCACAAAGAGACAGAGAAAGGCCGCCAGTGAGTGAGCGCTCAGATGATGATTTGTTCTGGAAGTTAAAATCTTTGTCTTTTTAAACAAAGAACATCTTTGTCTTTTTAAAAAGACGTGCAGTGTATTTAATTTTTTAAAATTGATTTTATTGGTACAGTTTTGGTATGCACAGAGATAACATTCATCGCAGGGAGTTTGTACCCGTACATGATATATCTTGCTGCTTCTTTTTTACCCATTCCCTTCCTCTCCCTTCAATCTTTCTTCCCCTTATTTACAAATGCTTTGTTTCCATTTTTCCTTCTATTCTCTCTTTATCCTTTCCCCTTCTTTACCTCCTCCTTATCCCTCTTTTGTGCCCCTTCCCATCCAAACATCTTTGTCATACTTTCCCATATCTGTCATCCATTTTGGTTCTTATTTACCCTTTACATTTCTCATACCAGAGAAATAATGTGGTATTTGGACATGTGTGTCTGATTTATTTCACTTAAAAGTATGGTCTCAAAGTGCATCCATTTACCTAGCAATGTCTCAAGTTTACCCTTCTTTACAGCAGAGTAGTACTCCAATGTATATAAAAGCTACATTGTGTTCATCCATTCATTTGTTCATGGGCATTTGGGTTGTTTCCAAGATTTAGCAATTACAAAATGTGCTGCTATACACATGCGTGTGCGTATATTACGGTGGTATGATGCTTTCAACTCTTCAGAAGATACCAAGAATGGGAATAGCTCGATCAAATGGAACCTCTAATTTTAGAACACCTCGATGAAGAGACCAGTGACAGGTGCATGGCATATTCTTAGCAGTCAGGATGGAGAAACGATGCCTATATACTTAACAAGATGGATTCTGAAAGTTTTAAGATTATTGTGGGAAATGAAAGAGGAAATAGAATAAAATGCAAACATGAAGATGTAAAGTTAATGAAAATACACAGTTTTCCTAGATTTTTGGTAAAGCAAAATAAAATAATGAGGCAACAGTATGAAGGGGACACTAGGTCAAATGACAACTTTTTTTTTTAATATGAAACACTACATGTTGTCTATGTCAAAATGATTCCGGAAAAAGTATGAGAAGAATTGATATTATAGAAGAGAGATAAAATACCTGAAGAAGCCGAGTCATTAAATTAACAAAACCTAAAGAAGTCTAGGCCACAAGAGAAGAGCTGCCTTTAAAGAGTAGGAAACTTCCTTTGCTGTCCTGGGGATGCTGGGGACAGGAAGGTAGCAGATACGGTGCCCTGGCTGTGAGACTGTTTTCCTTTGAGTGCTTGGGCCAAGACATGGGAAAGGAGGTGGATGGTTAAAAATGAAGACAAGGGTTCCTTTGGGATTTGAGTAGAACAAATAAGATGGGAAATGGTGTCTCAGAGAATGAAAAAGTGATTTTTTCCTAAAGAAATGTTTAAGATTGCCAGGAGATTCTGTGAGTGTACTTGAAACCATGGTTATAATTTTAATAAGAGACAAATGAGTGCTTCTCTGCTTGTGTCCAGTTTCTGGCTTGGGATGAGTAGGGAGCCATGGTTTTAAGCACAGAAAGTTATCCAAGGCTGAGGTCTCGCCAGGTGAGCATGAAAGGGAGAGAGAAGGAAGCAGGGTAAGAGCGCCTGAGAGGGACAACGAGAGTGAGGGAACAGGTGAGGTCTCCAGGTGTGAAGGGAATGAGCACAAGAGAAGGGTAGACTCTGGGGGAAACTGTGAAATGAGTGATCCAGGTACCAGTTCTGGTTAGGGAATTTTTGTTTGTTTGTTTGTTTTTTTTTTGTTTTTCTCCGGTACCGGGAACTGAACTCACGACCTTGCGCTTGCCAGGCAGGCGCTTTTTGCCACTGAGCTAAATCCCCAGCCCCCTGAGCTAAATCCCCAGCCCCCTGGTTGGGGAATTTTTGAAGGGTACTGCAATGAATCTCAGGGAAGACTGTTCAGAGAAGCTGATGCCTGACACAGGAGTTTTGAAAGGGTACAGTCAATGTCCATGCTAATTTCAGAGTATGACTGGGAACCTTTGGGCAGGAAATAAGGGAGAGGAAATGCATGTTCAAGACCAGGACGCACCCAATAATCAGAACCTAGGGTAGAAGCTACAGTTACCTGACTCCTACTGTATGCTCGCTCTCTCTCTTCACACCAACATCAGCTCCCAATTATTTTTTATCTCATAAACCATAATAATAAAATGATGCTCTATGCAAGATATTTAAGTCATCTGGTGGAGGTCTAGAGGCTGGCTTTGTGGGAGAGAACTGTTCAATCATAAAAGTTCTGCATTTTCATTTTTACTGTAGTCCACAGATATAGCCAGACCTAGGGAGAAGGTCAGTGATTTAGAAGTGTGTTCTTTTTCTCATTTGGACTAATTTTCTATAAGCCTCACTTTATTCTGTTTAGCATTCCATTCAAATGTTTTCAAGATCCATAAGGGAAGCTTGAAAGATCACGTCAGTCAAACACTTAACTTGCAAGTAAATTTCCTTTTAAAACCACTTACACTCAATAAAAATTAAGCTGAAGATTAGAAATTTTCTGACTTATGAAAGTGAGTAAGCACTACATTAAAAAGGAGATGTAAGTTAAACTATAGTTCTAGAGACTTAATTTATACTTAAATGAGGGCTTAGAGATAATACTGAAAATTTTTTTTTTTTTTTTTTTGGTTTTTCTCCGGTACCGGGACCCGAACTCACGACCTTGCGCTTGCCACACAGGCGCTTTTGCCGCTGAGCTAAATCCCCAGCCCCAATACTGAAATTTTTATTTATTGTAAATATACAACATGTTTATTATAAAAAGATTAGGAAATGAACATAGGGAAATTAAAAATTACTCAAAAATTGTTAACAGGATACAGCCACTTTTAAAATGTTTGTGTAAAGTCAGACGTGGTGGCATGCACCTGTAATACCAGCGCTCGGGAGGCTGAGGCAGGAAGATCATTTCAAGTTTGAGACCAGCCTGGGCTACAAAGTGAGCTCAATGCCAGTCTGAGCTGCATAGTGAGACCTTGTCTCAAAAAGATAAAACAAAAAAAATTTTCTGTATGTCCAGCCAGGTTTTATGGAGGTATTTTATACATATATTGCATATGTATAACTTGTGTTTATTAGATTATATTTGATTTGTATTTTTTGTTGTTATTGGTTTTCTTTTTTGAGATAGAGTCTAGATATACAGTCTAGGCTGACTTTTAACTCTTATATGTATCCCAGGCTGGCCTTGAGCTCATGGCAATCCTTCTGCGTCAGCCTCCAGCATGCTGGAATTTAGGTGTGTGCCACCTCATCTGAGTTTAGATTTTATTTGAAATTCTATTTTAAAAGTTAATTTTTAAATTTAAATTAATCTAGGTGTACCTCTTATCCTTGCAATAAAATATTTTTCTAAAATATTATTTAAATATCATCTACCTTATGGATATATAATAACATTATTGAGTACTATTTTCAGCCTTTATTGTGTTCTTATAAACAATAATAATTATGAGCGTTCTTTGAGGATTTGTCCATTTCTATACAAACAATTTGTAGATCAAAATTGTATCCTTTTCCAGGCTTGAGATTTATGCATTTAGATTGCCCTTCTAGGGTTGCATAGATTTCCAGGACCACCACTGGCATTCCTTTTAAATTTTCACCAAGTAGAGGTAAAAACCGTCTACGCACATTGTCTTTCCTTGTTTCTTAATGAGGTTGAACAGATTTTTTTTTTAATATTTATTGGCTTTTCTATTGTGATGAGCATCCTGTGAATGCTGTTTGGTCATTTTTTTTTAATATGGCTTTGACTTTTCTCCCAAGTATCTCAGTGTATAAAGAGGCCGTGCGCCACACTGCCATGTTTCCTTCATCTATCAAAGACTCCTGCCAAAGCTCTTCCAGTATATTTGCAGGGCTCTACAGCGTTGCTTTCCCCATGGAGGTGGATTTAAAATCCATTGCTCTATTTTAAAAAAATAAACCCATGCTAACTGTTGTTCTGATGTTAATATCAATGCCACACAAATGAGAATATCTTATGACAAATATAACAAATGTAAAGGCAGAATACTGACAATAAAAAAGTTAAAGATAAAGGGCTACACAAACTCATGGAACATTTCTGTTTTTCCCATTCATTTCCCTAAATCCTGGGAACGCAGTTTATATACTGAATATTGTATTTATTTGGTCTGTAGTTTCAATGTTTTTTTTCCAATATTGTCCTGTGAGCCCTATAGAAACCCTTCAGGTTATTATATGTAGTTGTATAATTTCTGAAGACAACCAATTAGGATCTGAAATGTGTAATGCAAAGTTGGGGCTTGAAATTTTAAAATTTTCTTACCCTCTCCAATGTAATTTCTTCAAACTCATATTCGATTTCAGTCCCATTGACCTGTAAATAGGCAAAAAAGGAGAGAGAAAGTAAGTATATACTCAGGAGAAGATGCTGCATTTAAACATTTGAAGGTTGCATTTTCATTCTATCAATGAATAAATCAAATTTCTTAGTTTTTGTGATTCTATATTCCTATTCAAATGATATGTAATGCAAGGCAGCCTAAAATACATGAGTGAGAAATTACAAAAATAATCAGACTATTGCATACCTTAGAATTTTGCGATTATTTTTTGAAGGAGAGAGGATAATACAAAGTATGTATCTTGAGTTCATAAAGAACAATCATCAAGAAAGAGATGATGTTTTATGTACAAAGGAAACAGTTTCCTAATATCTTTCAACTTTTATAAATAAATACTCAAATATGACCTTCAACATCAGTGATAATGGTAACATAGTTATTTGCCTTTTTAAATTTATTTTTTCTAGCAAAATAGCATTAAGAATAACTTTATCTATTTCCTGGCAGTTAGAGAATAATTTTTTAAAAGTTGAAAAAGAACGTCTGCTAAGAAATGTCTTCTTTATTGGTTCAAGCTCAGGTAATTTATTCTTATTGTTCTTTTATTATATTTACTAGGATCTGTGGGCCATGTAACCATGCTCACAGACTTTAGTAGCAATAAGAAAATGCATACATATATATATACATATGTATATATATATATGTTTTGAAATTCTAGTGAGAGATTGCATTAACCATCTAGCAACCCTTGATTGATTTGAATTTGCAGAACTGATTTAAAATAAATATATTTTAAACACAGCTAAGCCCCTTAGTTTGCAACAGATGTGCATATAGAATTATGAAGAGTTATTTTAAAATAATCTAACAAATATTCAATTTCCATTTTTATCTCTGACAGATTTCTTCTCAGCCAGACAACACCTCCGAGCAGGAGAAATCTCAAATTGGCAGTTTCTTTTTTTTAATGTGTCTTGGTAACATCGTTAGAATTTTAGAATAAGCTACAGACAAATTTTCAACTACCAAAACCATAATGAACCTAAATTCAGTTTATTTTTCCATCTCAGAGGAAATTAAATTAAACCCACTACCTGCAGATTGTGGAAGCAAGGGCCAGAAAACCAGCCCCATTGCCTAATGTGGCACCCAGTTTAAAAAAAAAAATGATGAAACAAAAAGAATGATTAAATGAGTGAGTCAATGAATGAAGGAAGGAAGGAATTCACTTATTTATTCAATTTACAAACCCAAGTATTTGTGGATTCTCTTCCATAAGGAATTTGGAAGTAGTGTCATCAACTGCAGGTGGAATTACAGCTATAATCAGTAAAATTACAAAATGACAACAACAGTAGACTAATGTGTGTGTGTCCACCACTCACTCAGGGCATGTTTTTCATTATTCAATTACACGAGCTAATTGGTGAATCACACTTTATTATGTTAGTGCATTATCAAACAGCCCTAAACTAAATTTGATTTTCTGGGTTTCAGTAACTTAATGACTCTCAGAAAAGGATTTGATGATGTCAGAAAGTTTTAGCAGCTTTGTGCAGATTTTTTGTTCGGCACATGTAAAATAAGAAAAAAACTACTCAGACTATGTATGTATGCTTCCATCTGAAAATTTTCTTGTTTATTTTTTCTGACTTCCTTTATTGATGGAAGGAGGTCAGCAAGGGAAGGATGAATTAATGTGCTACGTTTTCCTTTTCTCAGTACGGCTCCATGCAGCTTCGCTTTGCTTCAGTGCTTCTCTCAACTGAAGACCTTCACTTTATTAAAGTGCTGCAGACTGGGGAGAAAGCTTCAAAGGAAGAAAACAAGCCTCTGATAATAAATATCTAAAGATGCCTGGTGAAATGAATTCTGTTAAGGAATACTCCAGAGGTAAATTAGGTTAGCAGCATACACTACATCATGGTAGCTTATCAAAATGTTTGCTTAACATTTCTAGGATCATATATGCTGACTCTTACATCCTAGAAGTGCTATATATGCATATCCTAATCAGCATTTCCAAGTTCCCTGGTCAACTATGTGAACTATTGCAGGATTACATATACTTCTCGGGTCTTTAGTTTTCAACGCAAGAAAATAATTTCATTTGCGTACTTCAGTGTTATTTAGGTTCTTTTTATAAGAATAGACAATGGCTCCATGGATGAAACTTTGCTTTTAAAATAAAGCATCCCATGTCTACAGGAAGATTTAATGAAAACATACAAGAGTAGAAGATTTTTAGCAAAGCTAAGGCAACATTTGAACCTTAATTGATGAACGATTGAAATATGGACTCACAAGAGCTAGCATGGGAGAACTGAGGAGAGACATTTGAGGAGCCCGAGTACTTATCTTCCCTTCAGTAGGATAGTATGGTCTGTGTTCTACCTATGACCCCTAAGGCAAGAAATTCTGCAACCTTTCTTGAGAGACTTGGATGGAAAACATGAGACAGAAGAACTATAAATACCTCTACTCTAATAAGTAGTATGTAAGTCTGGGCTTTGACATTTATGGACATGGAGTGCCTTTGAAATCCAACAGATAGGACAATATCCTTTCTTTATTTTCCATAGCTCTGTATCATTTGTGAAGGATAAAAAGCGACAAGTGTTCACAATAATTCACCCAGTGCCATAACTTTATCTTCATTGAGCAATACCAAGACTGTACTGTGTATGGCTCCCATTTTCCCCTGGGGGCAGTTTATACACAAGTCACTGTTGTGTGAAGCTGCCTTAGTGGTCTCATTATAATCCCAAGCAGTTTTTCAATATATGGCTTTCAATGAATGAAGTTGCCTCCCGGAAGAAAGGTTGGCCAGATGCACTGTTTTGATCAGTAACACTTCCTATTACATTTAAGCACCCTGATAATGTTTTGGGCACCTGAACATTTGGGGTCTAGATAGCTGTGTGGGTGGAGTTGCCATTATTCCAGCTTTTGTTCTGAGCATCCCTTGCGGTCTCCTCTCCACAAAAGTGAGAAGACTTGCTTTTCTTTAGACTGCACAGGGGCAGTGATGGGGAGCAATAAAATAAATGGAATATTCTAGTTTTGAAAAATCTGTTTTTCTTTAGTTACTTAATTTTCCTGAACCTGATAGTTCTGTGGTGACATCTGGTGGGCTTCTATGATGGCCAGAAAATCAGATTGACGCTACACATTGTCCTGCACTGTTCTGGGCATGTAGCCTGCCTGGCATCGTACGGCTGTTAAATGAAGAGTGACCCTCACCCACTCAAATTCAGACTCCTTAGCTAAAGTTCTAATTTCATAGACTTTGAATACTTTACCTGTATTTTACCCCAGCGGCCTTTAGTTCATTTTCCTGTCCCTTCTCTTCCCTTCAGTGCTATAGTAACCACTTGCCTAGATGATGATATAATTTGATTTTGAGATGTATTTTTATCTTCTGCAAAGAGGCTCTTCATGAATAACAGATGTGAACTATTCCATATTTTAATGTTCTCTAATTGGAACCTTAAATAACAATTTCTCTGAATGTTTTTGTTCTTCACTACCTTTGCAAATTCATTAAAGCTAAGAAAATGCGGAACTCTAAGACTAATAACATTTTTATGCATTCCCATGGCATGGATTATAACAAGTGCTAAATCAGGGACATGAAAGTATTGGCTTTTTCAGACTCAGCATAATAGTGTCCAACAAAAAATTATTGTGCATGCAGGAAAGGTCAGCAGTGGTGACAGGTACTGAGAAATTGAAAAAAATCATATATTCATATTCTCAATAAACACACAGACTTTAAAAAGACACCTACAAACACAAACATGCTAAGGCCTCATAGACATGTAATAGGTAATATATAAAAGATAGAGGTGAATGACAGCCACAGCCCCACTATTACCACAGAAGGTCTGTTCTGATCTATCTGCTATCTTCTGAATATAAAAATTAAATCATACAGATTCAATTACTGAGTAGCAAAGAACATGATAGATGCTTTACTAAGCTTGCCTAGTAAAATAAATATTAAAGAATGAATAAAACATATTTACTACCCATAGGCTTCGGGAAGAGTGTGATAGTTTTAGAGACCAGAGCCTCAGGGTCCCATGGCCTCTTGCCAATTTCAGAGCAAGATACAGGCAATGCCAATTTGCCTCATCCATAGCTGTGGCATAGAACCTAGGACCTGTAATATGGTACTACAGTGACTGCCTGGATGTGCAAATAGATGAATCAGGGAAACAAAATTTGTTAGTTGAGTAAAATTTGATGTTCTCAAAGAAGATTCAGGTTGCTACTGGACCCAAGGCTTTTGCCATTCCTGCTTTCTATGACCTCACCTCCTACAGCACCTGACCAGACAGGGGTTACCCTACCATCAAACACTCCAGGAAATTTACACACACACACACACACACACACACACACACGAGAGAGACAGAGACAGAGACAGAGAGAGAAGCAATTTTCTTCCTTAGAAGTTTGCCAATATTTGTTCTTTCCTTCTTTTAGACAATATCTTGGAGCACATCACATACTTTACTGCTTTTACTACCTGAATCTGATGTACACTCTCATGCTCTGTAGGAAGGCTGTGGGTTCCACAAATAAAGGACACTAATTTGAATATCCTTTCCAACATTTTTTTTGTGTGTTTTTCTTCCAGTACCGGGAATCGAACTCATGACCTTGCGCTTGCCAGGCAGGAACTGTGCTGCTGAGCTAAATCCCCAGCCCCTCCTTTCCAACATTTCCGAGGTGTGTGATTGTGGATAACTTTAATCACTTTAATTTCTTAGATTTCTTAATTTCATAGAATGACATTAACATGACTTTCTTCATGTGATTATTGTGAGAACTGTATTAGATAATTTATATGAACTACTTAATACATACCTCAGGTGATTTAAACATTTTAGCTAAAATCCAACACAATTATGTTATCAGGCTTTACTTCAGGAAATTCTTGGAAAAAATAAATGTAATTGAACATGGTAACTGCGTGGTATGCAGTAGGTCTTCAGTAGTGAAAGCTGGCAAAATTAATTCT